TTACGCCCCTTTATAGTTCATATAGCGCTCATATTTATCATACAAAATATGACGAAATAGAAATATGAAAAGAATTGCCAAAATTTATCCAAAACAATATGCCATATAAAATATAATATAAAAATTTGAATGTAAGTTCTCCTAAATTTTTGTCTACATTAATATAATAAAAAAATTATATTATTGCATTATGTAAATTGAAGGATTGATTCAACGCTATTTATTTGCTTCATAAATAAAATAAAAAAAAATTGCAGTTTCCATCATCGATTATCTCTCGTCGTGATAATCCCTGACGATCTATTAGAGTGATTTTTATACGTTACGTGTCAAGAGAAAAAATCTCTTTATGAAGATCACTGCTAACTGATCGGATAACTGATCCATCATTAACGGCAACCGGTCCAACGAGAGTGCCATTTAGGATTATATTAATACTTGACAAAAAAAACTCTAAGAAATAACAAATAGTTATTCGATGTGAGTACTAATAACATATTTATTTATATTAATACAAAATATTTTTCAAATAAGAAAATATACATTTTCTTAAGATCTTAAGAAAATACTAGTTTTTCATGAAAAAACAATTATTCTATTTAAATAAAAAAAAAATTAGATTTAAGTAAATATGTTATTATTGCCTCCACCAAATAAATATTTACTGCTTTTCAAAAAATTTTTTTTTAGTATACCTGGAACTTGTCTCATGTGTTAAATTTAGATTTTTATTCGAAGTTAAATCCAAGTTTTTCACAGTTGAATCATGATATATGTGATATTTATATTTGCAATCGCGCGATTTAACTGAAAAAATTCTCATCTGATTTTAAATTCAAATCTCACTTGGCGTGCGTTTCAAGCGCATATTTGCGATTCAGCTGAGAAAGTTTAACTCTAAATTAAAATCTGAGTGTCTTACCTGAAATAAGTTTCAAGTAACGACTATTGATACGGACGTTAGGACCGATTGTCTCAACCTCTTAGTAAGCTACCTGGGTTGCATTCCAAAACGTCCTTTTCGAGAAAAATTTTATTCTTAAGTCTATAGTATATGTAACATGAACTACAGATTTAGGAGTAAAGTTTTCCTCGAAAAAGATATTAACTGTCAGGTAGCTTACCAAGGGATTGGAACAATCGGTCCAGTGTTTTCGTGGACAAGATTTAAGAGAGAGATAGATCCTCAACCTGGTTACTTACTAAGCCCGCCAATTCCGTGGTCGCGGCGGGCACCTCCTGATCGGCGTGATTCATCATAACGTCAGGCCGCGCGAGTCGTTATCTCGCAACGGGAACCTTCTCTTTCACTGAGTATACAGCACGGCTACCCGGTCAAGAGAGTCGACGCGGGGGAGGTGAGAGAACGCGCGACGACGTCGCCGTCGTCGTCGATCGCCGGTGTGTTGCGGCGCGAAGATCGAAGATAGCACTGAATCGGGTGATTTGATCTCCTAGTGGCGCGAACGCAACCGCGGGGGTGAGCCACCCCCGAACGTCGGAGGGTTGTGCCGTCTCCGGCGCGTGCACGCCCCCGACGTGACGTAGAATTTAGTCCTGCGCGTATTTCGCCGCTCGTCGGCTCCTCGTCGACCACTGCAACGAGGTGCTGGGCGGAGCATGGAATTCATTGGCGACATACACGACGTTCCCGATCGCGACGAGGTACACGATGTGCCGTGCGGCGTGAGAATTTCTCTACTCGGGAGAGAGAGAAAGAAAGAGAGAGAGAGAGAGGAGAGAAAGAGAGACGCTGCTCTGGGCTGTTCTCTCCTCTCGTGAGTCGCGAAGCTCCGCTGCGAGTTCGGTTCGATCGCCATCGAGAGGTCGACGAGCCAGCTTAGAGAGCTGTGTCCTGGTGAAAACTGCAAAGTCGTTCCTCTCTTCCTCTCTTTTCCTACATCTCTCTCTCTCTCTCTCCGCTCTCTTTCTGGACGAATATCCGTACGTTTCGGCGAGTCGCGAAATGTCGGTTCTCTATGAAGAAAATGTTTATTTCACGATATCTTGAGAGCTCGCCGTCTTCAATGTGATCGGTTTCTCGACTTAAAACGGAAGGAAAATTGAGGGTGAATCTTTCGCATTAGCTTATATTGAAGATCCCTTGAAGTTTATCTCCAAATGCTATAGGAATTGTTTCATTGGCTGCACAGAATCTCTGAAGATAAACCTAAGGGGATACTATTAGATACCGACGTAATGCACACTGAGAAAAAAATATTTGAAAATTTACTTGTGTGGGATATACAGTTAGTTCACAGAAACAGACTTTATTTCATAGAAATAAACTCTGTCTTTTATTGAAATAAATTTTATATCTCGCAAATAAAAATTGTTAGATATTTTTTCTCAATGCAGTGTAGTTCTGTTTTTATTTTTTTTGGTCTTTGATTTAATGTTTAGTGCCTTTTCATGGATTGACATTTGCACTTTCATTCCGTAGAAGCATTTGCAACTCTATGAAATCAAATAAAAAAAACAATTACAGATTGTATTATGTCGATATCTATTATCCCCTTAAGACAATCTCAAATATAAATTGTAATTAAACTGAGAAAAAAATACTGGAATTTATTTGTGGGATATAAAGTTTATTTTTGCAGAAATAAACCTTATAGCTCACAAATACATTTATAAGTGTTTTTCTTTCAGTGTGAATGAATAGTCCATCATAAATATGACGCAGGTATAATTGAGCGAATTTATAATTATTCCTTTTAGTTCTCTCACATAGATTTTAATTAGGGGGTTGTATAAAGCTGGCGATAATAGAAGAAAAACAGCGTACTATCGACTCACTCCCGAAACAACTACATTCATTCGCGACATAATTAATAATCGTGAAATTGAGGGGAAAGATCAAAGATTCTTATTATTATTGAGTAGAAATCCTTAATTATTCAAAACATATTAAAAACTTCACTCATATTCCATTGTTATTGAAGAAAGCAATTGCTTCGAGTCTGCAAAGAGCTGCGCACGATTCTCGCGTCTACGAGTAAAGCATTGGTCGGTACATTGGTGACAATTTATACTTCCGTTGATAAGAACGCCAGTATCACTCGACGTCGCGAGACCTACGTTTAGATGTCGCCAGGGGAGGAATACACGTGCACGATGCGTTTAAATTTGCCTTCTGAAATCTCTTGTGCGCATGCGTCGAAAACACGCGCACAGTCACGTGGTCGCTTCGACAGGCTCGTGCTTAGACGCCACGTGGTGCCCGATTTTTTATGCCTTTTTTTTGTTCCTCGGTGTGTTGATAATTGTTCTATCTTTCATTGTATTTTATAAATAATTTTTGTCTTATTAATTTTAGCAAATTTTTATTCTTTTATATATGTATAAATTGTTGATATTTCAATTCTACTTGCAAGTGTAGCTCTTTTGGGGACACGAGGCATGGCGATCTAGTAGCTGCACTTTTTACACCTCATCATTAAAAAAATAAATTTGATACGAATGGTTCTTTAGAATACAATCGTTGAAGTCCGCGTCCACTTCATTTCAGACGTGGAAAAAGCGGGTGAAGTGCGGAGGAGGGAGGGATGGCATAAAATTTATTAGGCGACAGCCAATCGATCGTTGCCCGCAGAGTTATTTTCCCGGCAAACTGCGAGTTCATTGGCTAACGTATCACCTGTTCATCGCGCGACCTATCAGTGTTGTTCTTGTCGGTGTTCTTGTGGATGTACCGTACTGCACTTTTTGTGCACGGAGCGAGGTAGACGTATACTCGAGTTCAGACGAGAGAGAAAGGAAGACAGAAAAGTCGCAGGAGAACGTAAGAAATGTAGATGAAGGAAACGACTTCAAGGTAACTTGATCATTACGTTCTTTCGCGCAAGCGACCGACAATCCAGAGACGGACGTTCTGCTCGCCAGGTGAAGTTTGTTCTGATCAGCTGCACCGATCTGCACTTCCTACACTTCCGGCATGAAGTAAGCACATATCGCATCGTAGAAAGGACAAGGAGGCATGAGGGGCACAGAAAGAGAGTACACACGGTGCAGCTAAAAGGAACGGATCTACAATTTGCCACGGCGTCAGCTGTCCGCCGATAAGCGAGCGATTTCGCGGTCCTGCGGCCGCCAATTAATGAGACAAGCGTAGGATGTAGCGAGCGTCCGGCCACGTGAGACGCGGTAGAGCGACGGCGACGACGCGCGTCGCCTGTGCTAAGCACCGAGTGCCTTTCTTCGGAGACACGCCGACGAATTCCGCGCTGATCAAGCGGTGAAAGCTCGTAATCTCCAGGGCGCGTTACATCATTGTAAGTAAACACGAGTCTTCGTTATTCGCGAAAGGACAAGGTAGGGCGATTTCCTATGGGATCTCCCGATTTTCCCGTGGAAAATATTGCCGAGTCCGTCGGGAACGTCGCTGCGTCTTTCCTCCAAAGTGATTGCGACGAGGACACAGTCACGCGCAATTGAGATAAAACTCAGCCGCGCGAGCGAAACGCACACGTTCTTCGCGTGGAAAATCGCCCCGGCGGCGAGGCGAGTTTGTAGCGTCGAGTTTCTCCAATGCTGCCGCACAAACGGATATTGTACCGAAATTATCCACCGCCGCGAGATTTAGCGACGATTCTCGGCTTCGTCTCGCGAATCGTCGCGATTAATCGCAGCGCGATTCGGACGCGTTTCCGGATGTGCTCGAAATTCGAATGCGTCACATGTATGTCGCGAGATCTCTGGCGAGATATGAAAGTGCTCCTTCTTGAGGAGGTTAAGATAACCTAAATTCACGATATCTCGTCCTCTCTTCTCTGTACGATCACACGAGCTGAAATGAGACGAGTCATGCGTTTTGCATTTCAGTTCATTTGAGTTGGATGATGGATTAGCGGGTCCATTTGCAGGTCACTGAGAATTTAGGGCATCACGGCCTGTTACATACCGACGAGATATGCGGCATCAGGTTGGAACGAGCCCTTCGCCGACTTCTTCGTTTGAATTTATCAGCGCGAGCTACGATATCGGCGCTCACTCGTGCAATGTCTGCGGTAGAGGCGACGCCATTCATCCGCACCATCGAGTGGGATATGATGGACAAGAGCAAGTTCTTCCCATTGAGCATGCTGTCCTCGTTCTCCGTCAGGTGCTGCCTGTATCCCCTGACAGTGATCAAGACTCGTCTCCAGGTGCAGAGGCAAAATCACATGTATAATGGTACGAGCGAATTTCTTTCCACACAAGCTGAAGAATTCACTCTGTAGCACTTTCGAGTTCGTATCAAGGAAGGATTGAAGATTACAGACGCATCTTTCACACGAAATGTAATATCAATACTTTACATGGAGGGAATTTCATAGTGAGAATTAGGATTTAGAACTGTAGGATTTTGTAACCCAAGAAACGTGTCGACATTTTGCTTGAATTTGTTATCTTTACGTTTTATTTATTATTTTTACGTTTTATTTGTTATCTTTACGTTTTAAGTAAAATATACAATTCCAGAACATTATTACTTAATCCTGGACATTCTTGTTATTTTAGTATTTAAATACGAATATTTAAACTTCTAACATAAAATGTATGTATATATTCAATATTTGCATATATATTTTATGTTGAAAGTTTAAATATTTATATTTTAAGATTAAAACAATAAGAATGTTCAGAATTAGGTGCATGTCCGGCCATTAGTACTTTTACCTTACGTGCTATTTACATTTTAAGAACCAGAATGTACTGTTAAAAAATTCAATAGCAAACTCCTCAGCAAGATAAACATCACTGAAAGTGTATTGCTGCACTGTTAGAAAATTCGGAAATGAGAAGAGTTCATATGAAAACATCCATAATATTCTGATAGATTTTTATGATTGTTACGACAATTATTGATGGAGAAACTTTACAATTTTTTTAAAATATGGAGCAAATATATTGAATTGATCGTTAAATTTACATCATGCTATAATAAACTCCACTAATAATCTATGAAATGCTGCTAGAAAATGTAATGAAATTGAAAAATGTCTATATGATACATACTCTGATAGATTTTTATAATTATCACGACATAAGATAACCAATAATGAAAAGTTTACGTTGTTTTAAATTACATTTATGAAGCAAACTGTGTTATGTTGATCATTAAATTTACATCATTGCGCAATGATCAATTCTACTGGCAGTTTATTGTTATACTACCAAAAGGTATAGTAAAATTGGCAAAAGCCTATATGGCTAAAAAGCTATAATATTCTCTCCGTAACAACTGAGATTAGAAGACAATCTGACAATAAGCTTCTTCACTTGTTCATGAGGAAGAATCTCACGATTTAATTTTGCTCCTCTTGCTCCAACAGGTATGATAGATGCGTGTAGGAAAATTTACAAAATGGAAGGCTACTCGGGTCTCTACAGAGGCTTTTGGATAAGCTCCATTCAAATCGTCTCCGGGGTATTTTACGTCTCAACGTACGAAGGCGTGCGTCATTTGCTCACAGCCACATCCATCGGTCATGTGGACTCGAAAGTCAAAGCGTTGATTGCTGGTGGTGCTGCCAGTTTAGTCGGGCAGACGATAGTGGTGCCATTCGACGTTCTTAGCCAACATCTCATGGTTCTCGGGATCAACAAACACGGCAGGATATCCGTAGACAAGGTGCGTCGTGACGAGAAAGAGTAGTGAAATGAACGAAACTTCGCTTAGACGAACGAAATTCATTCGAGCAAACGCTTAGTTGACTGAACAAATTATATAGCTATTATGAAGTTTAATAACCAACTTAGTACAATAGATTTGTTTCATAAATGCAATTTAAAGCAACGTAAACTATTCATTATTGATTACCTTACGTCGTGATAATCATAAAAATCTATCAGAGCATTATAGAGCTTTTCATCATATATATGGACTCTTCTCAATTTCACTATATCTGCTAGTAGTACAGCAGTAACAGTCTAGTAGTAGTCAGTCAGTAGAGTCATTTGACTCGATGATTTAATCAATAATTGTAATATATTGTCGCAACAATGTGTAATTTATTCAGTAAACGCAATATTTCTTTGAGTGAGGATGACTGTCGATTTTGTTGGTCCAATAGTTTCTTTTTCTCAGTGTGCATATGTGACAGTGATAGATTCACTATTTGTGAATGACATAATCTGTTTCAGTTCGGGATGAACCCGCTAGGTATAACCTTCGAGCCTGGCAAGACCCGCGCGCAAATCTCCGCAGAGATAATCAAGTTGATCTATCAGAGAGACGGTTACCGCGGTTTCTATAGAGGCTACGTGGCGTCTTTGTGTGCGTACGTGCCCAATAGTGCTCTTTGGTGGGGACTGTACACAGTTTATCAAGGTAAACGTTTTGTTGAAGGACCACAGTTCATGAAGAGAATATTATAGTTTTCTCATTTAAATTTTTCTCAATGTTACTATGTTTTATAGTAATACAGGAACAAATTGTCAATAGAGTTGATCTTGCTAAGAAATATATTAAATTTTCTAGTAGTAGAATTATATTCCAATATACTAATTTTAGGAACTAAAATAAGTTCCTAAAATGAGCAAGTAAAATATAAATAGTTTTGTTTTAGTTCCTAAAAACTAATTGTAATTGGTGTAATTTAAAGTGGAAAAATAGAAATCTTAGTTCTCACAAGAGTAAAATTATTTATATTTTATTTATATTAGGGATCATACTTATATTTTAAGAACCACAAAATGTCTACTGTATAGTTTATATATTTTGGTTCTTAAAATATAAAAATAGCGCTCTCCTAAAATAAATGAATAAGATATAAATAGTTTTATTTTAGTCCCTAAAATCTTGAAGATAGAATCTGAAGTGGGCAAGTAGGAATTTTAGTTTTCAAGATAAAATTACGTATTTTAGGAACTGAGATGTAATTGACACGTAAGAAACGATTAGAAATTAAAACAGAATGCCAATATGTCCTTTGGTTACAAAATTCTATAGCGTTTTTTACTATAAAATTCTCACCGTGTAATTGAGACATTTTTTAACTGCTTAATTACTCGTTGATAAAAAAGGCGATAACATTTCTCGTGCATTTCTCGATATTTGTATGCAGACGAGCTTCTGAGACTGCTCCCTAGTTGGTTCTCGCACTTGTGCATACAAGCGATCGCAGGCACGCTCGGCGGATTCACCACCACGATCATCACGAACCCGTTGGACATCGTGAGGGCGAGATTGCAAGTGCAGAGGCTAGACAGCATGTTCAGCGCCTTCAGGATCCTGTGGATCGAGGAGGGACTGCACATGTTCACCAAAGGACTGTCCGCGAGGCTCGTACAATCCGCGTGTTTCAGCTTCTCGATTATTCTAGGCTACGAGACTATCAAGAGAATGAGCATAAACGAGGAGTACAAGAGACACATTCGGTGGTGAAAGTTCCGGACTTAGTGTATTATTATTTTTAATCTCTCGCGCGAGGGGACGGGGAGGGTGAACGGTGGAACGTGCGACTTTGCCCGCGAAAAGATCTCTCTTCTCGGCTTGTGAACACGAGAAGTACGCGGTGCAGACAGATCCACGCGTTCCCGACGCCTCGCGCTCGACGAGCTGAACGAAGCAATGAAATAAAGCGACCGTAATTCAAAGATTTCCTCCGTTTGCTTCTGAATCTTCGCGATCCTTTTAACGACGACATGCGACCGTGCTGCGTGCAAAAAGTATGAGCACGTGATGTCGCACAAATCGCTTATACGACGCAATAATCTCGTAATGGAACTTATACGACGCAATAATCTCGTAATGGACTTTGAGACTTTGACACGAGCTTTGAAAAAGAAGAGATTGACTTCGACAAGTCAACTGGTGAACAAAAAAGTGTTTGACAAAAAGAAGAGAAAGAGAAAAGAGAAAGAGAGAGGGATTAGATTGTCGTGATCGTTCTCGAGACATCGCTGCATCGTATTCTACGCATTCTTTTCCGCAACGAGAGAGACCCGAGAAAGACGCACTCACGCGAGTGTTCCGTTCCCGGCGTTACTGTATATTTATACATCATTTTTTCGTGAAACACCAAAGAGGAGAGATGACTGCGATTTGATCAGCATATCGTCAGTTAAGAACAACAATATCTTATCGACGTTCTTTGAGATCTTTGAGGCTGTACAGATGCTAACTAGGTTGTTATGTTTGCAGGAGTCGCTGTTATTTTTCGTTATGTGGGAGGGGGGACAGTAGTAGTAATGATAATAATAAGAGCAACAAGAAACAATAATAATAATTAAAAAAGTAGCTACTGTACAGTTGTCCGTTTTATATCGTTACCGAAAAACACGCAGTGCAATTTGATACGTCACGTCGTCTCATCCGGACGAAATATGGAGGGGAGGGAGAGGAAGAAGAGGAGAAGAGATCTCGCATATATCGTGTGCGTGAAACGAGTGCTCCGAGAGTCCGGATGCTGCGAAACAACGTGGGATGAGAACGTGATGAGCGGCGTTCGCGTGGAACACCGACGCGGAGATCGACACGCATTTTGTGCGCGAACACTACGTTGTTACACGGAGTACAAAGTTTGTAATATGCGTTAGATATGTTACTGTGATATACGCCCATAACACACGTCTCATTCGTGCCTCGACGACGGTCCGCTGTATATTCATTGTGCGCTTGTTTCTCATGGTATGTGTGTGTGTATCTGCGCGTATGATGTGTGCATGTGTGGTATGTATATGTGCGCGTGTGTAGGACGTGTTACCATAGAACGATCCTAGTCAATTCAGGGCATATGTATGAAAATATGCACGCATAATATATAATTGTGTGTGTATATATCGGTCGTTGTCGACTCGAATAGAACGTAAAATGAAATACCTGAACCGAGCAGACTATTTACCGTTCACACACCGAGATATAGAGACAGAGGTACATTGTGTAAAGGTATTATTTAATATTTCCACCTCTGTGTACCATGTACATACAGTTGAACCGAGATCCTTAATAAACACCGGGACGAACGCAAATAAATTGTATCAGCCACGTTAAAAAAGCTTGCGTGTCAGCCTCGCGCTCGTTCTATTCTCCCGTCCAAAGGAATCTGAATTGTGCGCGGATCTTTTCGAAATCGTTGAATCCCTACTTTGAATCGTTCACTGGGGAGATAATGTTCGGTATGGATAACTAGAATCTTATAGTGAAAGAATTATTGTCAGAAGAACAATTTTTGTAGAAAGAGTAGCGTTGCGGTGTGGCATCGAGAGAAAAGATATTTAAAGAATAAACAAATATTTTTTCCATGTGAGTACCAATATTTATAACATATTTACTTTAACCTATATTCCTTTATTTAAATAGGATAAACAATTGTTGAAAAAAAAAAAAAACAATTCATGAAAAACTAAGATTTTAAGAAAATACGTATTTTCTTATTTGAAAAAAATTGTTCTTATATTAAAAAAATATTAGTACAAGTACAAGTAGATACGTTATTAGTACTCACTGGAATAAATGTCTTTTGTTTCAGATATTTTGAGATCCTTAGTAATAATAAACTCATGCGTATTGCTATTATTTCTTTTTTGTTAGAATAAGAACATATAATTGGCGTCGAAGATAATTATATAATTTTAAAATGATTAATCTTTTTTCCATCTCAGGGCTGATTTTTCAATAATAGTTTGGATTTAAATCCGAGTTTAAAATCTGTTTTAAATATGTATTTGGACAAGTGTTGAGTATTAATTGATTAAAATTTTCTCTGACTAAACTAACCAGCAAATTAATGATCAAAATCAATCGTCATATATCACAAAATCACAAATAATTTCATCGATTGATGAAATTAGTTGTCGACCAAATTTTGATATGACTGATTAATTAATAATCGATTTCATTAATAGATTAAATTATTCGTGATTATATATATGTATGACGATTGGTTAATTTTGATTATTGATTTACCGACTATTCTTGTCAATAATAAAAATTAATCAATCCTCGCACATAAAATAATTTCATCGATCGAAGAAATAAATTATTGATAACACTTGCGTGTGATCAGTAATATATTGACTAGTAATTAATTTCATCAATCGATGAAATTATTCATAATTACATACATGACGATTAATTAATCATGATTGTTGATTTATCGACCATTTCCAATGTAAATTTGAATCAATTAACGCCTAACCTTGGTTCGAACAGAGTTCGAACTTAAACCTAAGTTTAAGAGCTATTATGGAAAAATCAGAGCTGTACGCCGATACGCACCGGCGAGTGTTACACGTACGACGACGATACATAATGTATCGTATACGATTAATTAGTTTTAACGCCACACGCATTACCGCGGGTATGAGCGAGGCGAGGCGTGCTTCGCGGCGCAGCGACGCGAGCGAGAAAACCGAATTAACGATCTAACGAGCGGCCGCTTTGAAACGAGCTCTCGGCCGACATGCAAATCGCGGAAGAGGGGCCCGAGAGGAGGTTGAACGAACCCCCTTCCTTCTCGCGTTAGGTAGACAAAGGCCGAGTTCCTACGTGCATCTGCCGCGCGATGCAACGATGCGTCGATTGGTATGCACCGCGGAGTAGATCGATCTGACATCTCCGATGACTAGGCGCCAGATTGGCGCTGCGATTTCTATGCCGGCCGTCGCTCCTCTACGTAAGAGGACGCATGAATTACCAGCCAGCCAGCTAGCTAGCTACCTATCCGCTACCAGCGAGGTAACGCCCGTTGGCGATTAATCGAATCCAAGCGAAACGGCCTTCGCGCAGAGACGACATGCAAAACTCATAATTGCATAATTGCACGTGCGCGCAGCCTCGCACCGAGCGTCCGTCACGTGAATGTCAAGTGTCGGGGTCAGCCGAAATGAACCCTGCAGTTCTCCTCGGCGATGTGGAAGCTTAGATAAGGATTTTGTCGTCGAAATGCGAAAACTTGGTACAGCGAAGCATAAAAATGCGGCCATGTTTCGTTGCTTTTGAGATATAAGCAAACATGTCTTGAAACGGAATTTCAAGCTCAAGGAGTTACGCTCTTTGTCAAAATGGGATCAACCAAATGTGTCTGGCAAATGCAACCAAAAAATTTCATTGTCGTTATGTGCGGTTTGCTTTCTCAATAATTAACGAAAAGATAAAAGGCAAATTGGAGTTCAAGCACTAATGCAGTAAAATCTAAAAGTGTTAATAATAAATAAAAAATAAGATATTTCTCTCAGCAAGAAATGTCTGAATAACACCATTCTGTGATACATACAAATAGCAATATGTATGCAATATGTTTGTCTAATCGGATATTTGTATGTATCACAGAATTATGTTTTTCGGACATTTCTTGCTGAGAGAAATATCTTATTTTTTCTTTACATATTAACACTTATACAAGCTATGTGCAGCAAATGGACACAGATTTAATTTAAATCTGTGCCTATATATATCCATTTGCTGTACATAGCTTGTATAAGTGTAATATGTAAAGAAAAAATAAGATATTTCTCTTAGCAAGAAATGTCTGAATAACATCATTCTGTGATACATACAAATAGCAATATATATGCAATATGTTTGTCTAATCGGATCTGCCTTGGTGGGTCTGATGGTACGGACATGTTACATTAGTAGTGAAGATTAGAGAGTTTTCAAAAATTGGCTGAGTAGCTTAATTGTGACACTGAAGAGAGTCCATGAATGGGCTGAAATGTTTGTAACTCGACATTTATAAATAAATATTTCTCTATACGTTAAGAACTATCACCTACAATTTTAAGTTTTACTGCACTAGTACATCCGTTCTTGAACTCCAATTTGCCTTTTATCTTTTCGTCAATTAATTTTTATTTGTTAGAAAATCTGTTTTTGAAAACTGAATTATACCCATTCACGATTAATTATTAAATTCATACGTAAGAAAAGTGGAAATTACGTTTCATAGAGAAAAAACTCGCGATAATTTCCCAAGTGTGGGATTTTCATTCACCAAGAAAGGTACTTCAAATGGCAAAATTATTCTCAGTTATGATTATCATATCTTTTAGATAATTCTCGAAGCGGAGTCGGGAATATAATTAAGATACCGAGAAGAAATTATCACTTACATTCATACATTTTTATTATCATTACATTCATGAACATTTTTATTATCTATTTTTCACGCTCTGTGTCTGTGTCTTTGATATTTAAAGAATTCGCGTGAATTTTATATCGCACGTGCATACGATGACGCGCGAACATGTGACTGCGTGTGATACATTTCATCACGCGACGTGGTAGCAGCCATCTACCGTGGCACTGATGCATTATGCAATCCCGCGCTTCGTGCGTTCTTCTTATCTACGGGGTATCTTATCATTTCAAGCTTCCTACGTGCAATCGGAGCAGTTCTCCGGATGTGTTCTAGTACGCGGTCGCCATCGCTAGATGCCCGCACGATTTACAATTGCTGTACGAGGCATATCAATCCGACCGAATTTTCGAGTTTTTTAACACGCTGCATATTTATTTGTAGGTTTCTCTAAATAACAAAAATAGTAATATAAAGTAATATAAAGTTTAACAGTTAATTAATATACAGGGTGTCCGGTAACTGATTGACCAACCGCCGTGTACAGGTCAAAATAATGTCATAAAAGTTATATATCATTTTGAAATTTTCTCAATATTTATTCCGTAATTAATTAAAATGTATAAACGAATGAACGTCTGTGAAGATGGCACCACATTTAAAAAAAAATCAATTTATTATCATAGTTCTGATCGCACCCCAATGAGTTCTAGAGTTCTAGATAACATTTAGAAATAGTTCCGGCGAAATAAAGTAAAAAAACCAATTTTGAAGTTTTGGAGTGCTAAGTTCACAAAATGAGGTAAGAAAAATGACCGTAACTTTTTAACGGTGGCACCAAATAAATTTCATCATTAGAGTTCTTTATAGAACTCTTGTGGTGCTATCCAGAACTCCGATCAGAACGCCGGAAATGTTAAATAAATTTCACCCCCTCAGAACTTAGAAATTTTCATGAAACCGAATCTTCGAACGCCTAGAACTTATTTCTCATTGCTTTTAGCTGGAAGAATCATAAATATAATCGACAGAACTCTTCGGGGTGCTACCAGAACTCCGATCAGAACGCCGGAAATGTTAAATAAATTTCACCCCCTCAGAACTTAGAAATTTTCATGAAACCGAATCTTCGAACGCCTAGAACTTATTTCTCATTGCTTTTAGCTGGAAGAATCATAAATATAATCGACAGAACTCTTCGGGGTGCTACCAGAACTCCGATCAGAACGTCGGAAATGTTAAATAAATTTCACGCTATTAATTATTTCTGTCGACTGTAACGTTTAGAGATAGGAGGACAATCGATAGAATAATTTGGGGAGAAAAAGGACTATCATAACTAGCACTAAAACACAAATAGCACACTGGAAAAAATTTTGTTCTAGGCGTTCGAAGATTCGGTTAAAAAAGGGTAAAATTTTTTTAAATAATTCCAGCGTTCTAACCGGAGTTCTGGATAGCCACAAGAGTTCTATAAAGAACTCTAATGATAAAATTTATTTGGTGCAACCGTTAAAAAGTTACGGTCATTTTTCTTACCTCATTTTGTGAACTTAGCACCCCAAAACAAATTGGTTTTTTTACTTTATTTCGCCGGAACTATTTCTAAATGTTATCTAGAACTCTAGAACTCATTAGGGTGTGATCAGAACTATGATAATAAATTGATTTTTTTTTAAATGTGGTGCCATCTTCACAGACGTAACGAATGAGCTCACAAGAAGCGGTAGGACAGGCTCTGCGTGTAAAAGAAATGGCTTACTTCTTAGCAACGATGAGTAAACAGTTGATTTCGAGGCGGAGTAACAAGCGATACGTACACATTTCGAAATCAGCTGTTTACTCATTACGGAATAAATATTGGAGAATATTACAAATATACGGAGAAAATTTCAAAATAGTATATAACTTTTGATATTATTTTGACCCGTTCTACTCGTACACGGCGGTTGCTCGATCAGTTACATCCTGTATAATGTTTCAAAACATTTTATCTATTTTCGCAAAATTAATTCCCGAAAATGTTTTTTTTTCAGAGCGTTACATTAATTTAGCCTGTTGAGGATTGAAATTTTCTCAGTCTCTAATTTTTCCAGTCGTGTTTACCTTTTCATGCGTTTCAACGTGACAAAGTTAAATTTCTATTCGCAGTAAACCGAACGAAATTACGAACGCGTGCAGTTCGTAACTGCAACAAGAGTACGATGTGGCCGCCGCAGTCGCGCAAA